CTTCATTTGCTTTGCTTTGTTAGGGTCTGTCTGTCGGGTGCCATCCAGGAGTGACTTGTCTAGAACAGATAGACACCCCTCGTGCATCGAGACCACGACCACGACTGACCTCATGCTGCACATACATACAAATGATGCGGGTTTTACCTATGATTTGCATGGGACGGCGTCCGGACGGTAAATGGATGGGCTGGTGGTTGGGGTTTGGTTCCTTGCAGAATATTGATTGCGATAGTCCGTACAAATCAGTGTGTTTCTACCACTTGCTTACTTACATATATTTCACACATACATAAGTACATGTGGACCACGTGTTCAAGTAAGTACTGAGTAAGTAAGTAGTATTCGGATGCGGTGAACTACTAGATCATGAGCGCAAGATACTCTCCGAGCCAACCACAACACTCACTCATGGTCGGTCAGGTCAATCAAGGATATCCCGGTTCAGACACAACCCTCAAAGTTCAGGATGACCTTGGTCAGAACAGACCTTGACGTTGATGTTGAGCCTGTCAGCGCCCGTGGCGTAGACCACTGAGCAAGCCATCTGGTGATTAGAAGTTGCTGGTTGGTAGTGGGCGATACTGGTACTGTTTGGTCATGGGTTGGGTTGGGTTGGGTAGGCAAAGGTAAGGAGGTTGTTAGTTGTTACAGGTAAGTTGGGAATTTACCCGACTTTTGATGGTGAGGCTATCAGATTGGAATTGGGGTAAACAACTTCTATTTATGATTATTATTATTATTATCTTGGTAAGGAATTGAGTTTTAATTCTGTCTCCGTCAAGTTGCAGAGAAAGTGATAGAGTCATGGTTTCTTATTTTAATCCCGCGGGACTGTAACTGGCAGGGATTGGGTAGATCATACTAACGGTGTCTACTAGTACAGCAAGTACAGTAGTAGTGGATTGTGTGTGATGGGAGATCTACTACTTCCTACTTACCAGGCAGATCCTGAACTAGTGGCCTCGCTTAAAAATGCAAGATGGGAGAGATGTATCACAACGCAATCGAGAACAGAAACTCAAAGATGTGACTTGAAATATTTAATTAAGTCCTTCCCCCTTAACCTCGGTTGGCGTTCTCGATGTCATATCGACCCGTCACTGGGGAAATTGCATATTGTATCGATCCAGCTCCTCGGTGCTCAAGGCAGACAGGCAAACAATAGGCAGACCTTGGATCTCAATATACTGAATTCCCCTCAATTTATGAGAAAAAAAATATTTACAGTATGTAGGAAGTAAGATGGAAGCAATGTGAGGGCTCAGCTGCAGGGTTTGGCAAAAAGTACAGAAATACTGTAGATAGACTGCACATGGACGTTGACGGGGAAGACAGGGAAAAAAGAACAGTTTTCGGTGCCAGTCAGTTGGGAAACGATGGATCGACAGTGAAATGTACTCGTTTTGGGTTTAGTTTAACACAGTTTAGTTCTCGAGGCAATTGCTGGGAATTGTTCTTTTCTTTTTCTAGTCGGCGATGGTCGGAGTGATTGGCCAGACCAGTTCTAGGCTTGTCTGATAGTCACCGGGAAGCTAATCCTGAAGGAGATTGGGACCTTTTCCCCCCGTGTCTCTCTCTCTCTCTCTCTCTCTCTCTCTCTCTCTCTCTCTCTCTCTCTCTCTCTCTCTGTTCTGCCTCTCTGTCTTGGTTCTCGACATTATTCTCTTTCTCTCTCCCTCCCGTTTCTCCTCTTCTCCTCCCCTCTCATCTTTTAGCCCTTCTTCTTCCCTTCCATTCGGCTTCTTCTGGGTTGGGACCCTTGGACAGTGCACTTCCTCTATTCTTTTCTACCTCATCTTATACCTATTTACTATCTCTATTGAGATTTTCTTTAATCAGCTTCCCCCGGAGTGTCAACGAATCAGTTTTGGCGCCACGGGTCCAGCCACATCTCTTTGCAACCACTCCTTTTCCTTGGGCTTCTTCCTTCCCCTCCTCTTCTTCTCCGCCTCTCCTCTTTCTTCCTCTTCTCCTCCTCCCAGTCGTTTGACTCTTGACTCTTCTCTGCCCCTCATCGAAGCTCATCCATCTTCTTTCCTATCCATTTAACTTCCCCCCTAAATTCATCTACCTCGACACCATTCCATTTTCTTCCAATCCCCCGACCGGTCCTGATTCTCGGATCCCGACACTGCTAGCCGTCTGCCAACCGCCGTCGGCCTATAATAGTGCCCAGCCCGGAGTTACGTCCACGGTACCCATCCCGCCGGTCCCTGACTTCCTCTTCCACCCCCCGGGAATTACATATTGCGCTGCAATTTTAAGGCTCCGGCTTCTCCACTTCCCTGGCTGTTTACGATTTCCTCCTTTCGGAGCATCTCTCGTGTTCCGCTTCTTCCCCCCCTTTCCCACCGACTCGTGCCCTCTACCTCCCAACCACCTACCCCTCACATCGTACATACACTTGTTGGAGTCTCGGCTTAGGGGTTCTTCGAGACAAACGGTCCAGCACGATTGCTGTTTCTGGTCTGTGCGCTACTGGGATGGCCTGATCGGGGAACAAGACGGGAAGGGCAAAAAAATTATTCACCTAGTGATCAGACTCTCTTTAATCATCCTGCAAGCACCTTCGCCGCACCACGGGTTCCAGCTGGCCTGGCCTTGACTGAATCTTAATAATTGCTGTTGGAATGGCGGGGACAGCTACCGCGACTTACACGACAGATGTTTGGACGTCACCCAGCGTAGATGGGGGTCAGTGGGAGTACGCTGTCCCGATTCGACAGGATGTAAGTGTGTTACACTCCCGGCATACCTTTCTGCGGTGCTCTGATGCAATCGCGCCGATCGTTCGGGCCTTCGCGGGCCAAAAGCCGGACTGGCATGCTAACCTGGGTTTCGGTAGAGTACTAAGCATCGCTCAAAATCACGGTCCTCCCACGATTCACACGCCAGGTCCAGGGAGCGTAATTCCAAGGGCTCTCGCAGCTCCTCGCTATCGCGTCACGCCTATGCTCACGAGCACTTGACCTCCCGGGGCCGCCCACAAGCTAGCCACAGCCGACGCGGAAGTGAAGCAGGCAGCTCACGCTCAATCTACGGACACGATGTAGCCAGTCGTAGCGCCGGCAATGTCAAAGACTCGACGGATTCTCTTTATCGAAAGGGGTCGGTGAGGCACGGCGAGTGGCACGAGGGAATGGGCATGTACACGGACGAGATCGACCAGGACAATTGGATCCATCGCGACAAGCTGGCCAAGATTGAGAGTGAGGAGCTGCAGCAGGCCGCCATTCTGCTACAACGTCGGGCGGGTGAGGGCAACAAGACGCGCGCAAAGAACTACGACTCGTATGGAACACCTGCCAGCTCCCCACCGACCGAGCAACTGGAACCCTGGCCCAGTTTGCACGGCGATTCCCAGCTCCGGGAATATAGCGGGTCTCCAACCTTCCCAGAAGAAGGTGAAGAGCGTGGAAGGTGGGATTCTCGTCGACAAGAAGAGGGCATGGCCAATGGAGCGGCCGGCTTCTACCGCAACCCCGGACTTCGCAAAAGCTCTTCGCGGATACCCATTCCCTCGGGTATCCCAGTACCGGTCTCTCCCAATCCCGAGAACGGCGGACGGGAATTCTCCAAGCAGCGCAGCCGCGCAAATACCCACGGGGATGATGATGCTTTGTCCTTCGGGATGCCCCGTCGGGCTAGCGAGCCGATGTCGGTGGACTCTGCCCAGAACATTACTCCAGCAGGAAGCCGGCCTGGCAGTCGCGGGAACACCCTACAAAATGCGGCCGGTAGGAAGACCACCAAGGGCGGTGCTACCAATCGCAAGACGTCGGCTCCTCCGTCGACTACACGAAAGGCGACCCCAAGAAGCCGGGCACCGTCGAGCACGTTGCGGGCCACTAAAGCCGCTGAGAATCGTCCCATTAACCGGCCGGAAGGCGACCCTCCGTGGTTGGCGACGATGTACAAGCCCGATCCACGTCTTCCGCCTGACCAGCAGATTCTTCCCACACATGCACGACGCATGCAGCAGGAGCAGTGGGAGAAGGAAGGCAAGACGCCTACCACGTATGATCGGGAGTTTGCTCCGCTAGCCATCGGGCCGGACGGGCCAAAGCCCTCTGAGAAGCCGGCACCCAAGGAAGAGGAGCCGGAGCCGGAGCCGATCGAACAGAACGAAAATGTGGAGAAAGAAGAAGTGCAAGAGCAGAAGACCCCGAACTTGGAGACACCGTCTAAGGAGTCGGGACGGCCGAACTCAGGCACGGGCTACAGCACGATGCCGCGGGTACATGAACCACCACAGGCGGCGCTGCAGCCAAAATGGAGCCCACCAGTGGTGACTGCGCAGGAACCGCCGCCGAAGGAGAAGGGCTGCGGATGCTGCATCGTGATGTAGGGGGAGGACGCATTCGTTTTGAGTGGCATATGTCCGTCATTTAAGATACCTATTTCCTGCATTGTGGATTTGTTTTTTCAGCGAGCTGGGTGGTGTTTGATCTGACTAGGATTTTAATAGCTATCCACCTTTTACTTCTTGTCGTTCCTTGGAGACTTTTTACTCTCATTTGATTCCCTATCTGTTGATTCCAGTGTTTGTGCACCTGCATTGAGCGGTCATTACGACATCACGCGTCTTTCCTTTGAACATGCATTGATTTTCTTTGTGCATATCGTTATAGACAAAGTTCACAATTATATTAAATATCAATTGCAATTAGTATCCAACAACATATACATAGTTAAGTGACCGTTCTAGAACCCCCCATATAACCCGTCATTAATAAGCCACCCCCCAGCACCCCTCATTACATAATCACCCTAGCGCACCTTGCGTAATCCGACCATCCGCTCTCCTCATTCCATCATTCATCCATTCATTCACTAATTTATTCCATCCTATCTGATCGATTCCATCATCCCGCTGAAACCTTGACTAAACCCATTCCACCCAATCTTATAAATAACCCCACTTCCCCCTCCCCCCTCTACTTCTCTTCTCTTCTTTTTAGATTAGACTACCAGTCAATACCGCCACCATTTCCTCCATCTTCACCCGTCTCTTCGGCTCTTTTGCCGCTCCTTCTCCCACCATGTCCGCCGCTGCTAAGACTAAGGCCCAGACCTTGATTAATGAGAATGGCGTTGGTAGGATACCCTCGCCCTCTTCCCAGCATTGATATATTATATTGTGTCATACATGATGTATTAGTGTAACGTTGTGTGGAGAAACCGATTTGCTAATATGTTATGGTACATAGTCGTCTTCTCCAAATCCTACTGCCCCTACTGCCAAGCAAGCAAGAACTTGCTGAATGAGCTCGGCGCTAAGTACACTGCTCTTGAGTTGGATCAGCTGCGTAAGTTTCCTTTCCCTTACCCTCCATTTTCTCTTGAGAGAGATATTCTTTATGGAAATTGCGTGTGCTAATATATGTGTGCTGTGTACAGCCGACGGAGCCGACCTCCAGGACGCCCTCCAGGAAATCTCCAGCCAGCGCACCGTCCCCAACATCTTCATTAGCCAGAAGCACATTGGTGGTAACTCGGACTTGCAGAGCAAGAAGGGTGCGGAACTGCAGGGTTTGTTGGAGGCTGCTGGAGCTTTGTAGATATCTTGTCTTTTATGATACATCTGCGAAGCAGTGATAGGGGAGTAATGATAGATAATTGATTGGTGCTATCAGATCATATATAATACATACATACACTACATACTCAAACATCAGAAATAGGAAAGGAGTAGTATAGAGAGAGAGAGAGACAGAGAGAGAGGGGGATTATACAGTCCCAACCGGCCTCTCCACAACCCCCATAATCCCATCCACCACACTGTGTCTGGCCCCCTCACTCGAGACATTCTTCCCCGCCAAATAATTCAACCACACCAACCGACTCACCCTCTCATCCTTGACCCTACCCAAATACCTATCCGGCAGCGCATCCTTCCCATCACCACCACCCTGAACCAACACATCCAACTGTCCCTTCTTGCCCCTCGCCAACACCAACACCTGTCCCTTAGGCACACTCTTCCTCTGCCCACCTCCAAAAAGGCCCTTAAACTCCCCCATAGCCTGACCAAACTCCTCGCCCTCAAACTCCCCCTTACCACCACCCTCAACCTTATTATACCTCTGCGCCCTACCCGTAATCCCCCTCACCCACCCATCCCTCAAATGCAAGAAATCCGTATTCCGCGTCGGCACGACCCGAAACGCCGTCCTCAACCCATCCTTCTTCAACAGCACATCCCACGCCTGCTCCCCCTTCTCCGCATCCAACAACAACTCCCTCAACTTCTCCCTCTCCATCGACACCAACGACGTCGCAGCCGTAGCCCCCACCTCATTATCAATCACCGACTCCGTCCCCTCCCCGGGAGGATGCACCGCCGTGCGCACCAGTCGCGATTGCAGCTCCGCCAAGTCCTCCTTCGCAACATACAATCCCACAACATACACCTGGAAATTGAGGAACGAGACTGTCCGAATACCCAATCCTAGGAGATGGTATTCCTCCCCTTCACCCTCCTTTCCATTACTCTCCACAGGCAAATCCGTCGCAGACGCAGGAGTATTATTATCCTCACTCTCCAACCACTTCGGCAGATAAATCACTGCCGGGAAATGCGGGATCGAGCTCGTCCCTGTCTCAACTTGGTCGGGGTTTCTGCTGGCGGATTGGATGTGCGTTAGCGTGGGCTTTGTGGGAAAGCCCGTGCTGGGGCCGTCGAGTTTGGTGCTGCCGCTTGTGGTGGTGGTGTTCTCGATTTCGACTCCGTCGGTGGTGGTGGCGGTGGTTTGTTCCAAACCGAATACGTCCGCTTTGATCACCCCGTACATTCCGATGGCGCATACGATCATCCCTGTCGCTGAGATGTACATTGACCGTTTGCTCCGCGCGAGGTCTTGTTCGCGGCTGCGTGGCGCGCGGGCGGCGCTGCGGAGGGGGTTGCTGGCTGTGCTGGTGCTGGTGCTGGTGGTGGAGCGGAGGGTGCGGGTTGTGCTGTAGAGGCGGGTTTTGGGGGGGTTGGTGGAGGCGTGGAGGTGTTGGGCGCAGGTGCGCCATTGAGCGCGGGCGGCGCGGAGGGAAGGGGGTATCGGTGGCATCTTGTTTGAGTGTGTGTGTTGTGTTGGTTGAATTGGTTGGGTTGGAGATGGATGTAAAGTCTGGATGGAGTATGGGGATGCGGTGGAAGTGAGCGGATCGGATGATTAGGGGCACGTGATTAGAGCTGCCCTGATTGGGCGGTTGAGGTAGTATAGCGTTTGGTAGGAATTGAGGTGGATTGAAGGTTACTATGCTATTTACTATCCTAGTATAAGTACTGTGTAATGACAATGTAGTTACTGCTACTGCTACTGCACCTCCACCTTGTACGTTCCTCCTCCGCTGACCGTCACTGTCGCCGTCGAGTTGGCGTACTTCACCCCCCGGGTGATCTCCGTCCCGTCGATCTTGATTGATGGCTTTGCAGTGCCGACGAACGGCAGCGTGAGGTTTCCCTGGGTCCCGTGCGGGACCGTAAAGTCGAGTGTGTATCCCTTGTCTGTCTTGGACCATCCAGCCTGGAACTTTCCAAGCGAAGTCGTGAATCCACCCTCGGCGGACTGCAGATCGACAAACTGCGGGGCAATGCGCCAGGTCGCCCCCAGTGGAGATGTGACAGTGATCCCCACGATGTAGTTCGTCAGCGCCGACGTCGGTCCTGACGACCAGCCGTGTGAGTGTGACACATATGCCGTGTCATAGTAGTACCCGCGGTTACCGCGGTACCCGAACGTGCCGTTCTGTAGATAGCCTTCGATGACCGTGCTCTGTGTGCCGTTCGCGTTGTTGTAGTACCATCCCCAGCTGCGGCGGATTAGCTCCAGTGCTCGTTGTGGCTGTCCCACGGTCAGATGGCCCTGGATCTCGAACGAGGAGATGAACGGGGAGATGTTCTCTGGCAGTTCGGGCGCCACGGCTCCAATCGGGGTCCAGTTGTCCGTTAGTCTTTCAGAAATACTGGCGGCCCGGTCCGCATCCACGACCCCGAAGAGCAGGGCCATGCTGTTTGCGTCCTGGGGGTGCAAGGTGGTGTCGGTGGCGTTGTCTTTGAATGCGCCGTATGATTCATCCCAGCAGTATTCGTTGATAGCTTGACGCAGCTTCTCGGCTCGGCTAGTCCAGGTGCTGGACAGGTCGCCTGAATCTCCGGCCCAGGTGGCGAGCTCTGCGCCTGTGTTGAGGGTGTGATATAAGCTGAGGCTGTTAGAAGGTACTGGTTGCGTAGTTAGGGCTTTACTTACATCATCTGCGCCTCGGAGTTGTTGTATCCCTGCTGCCATCTGGCCCAGTCGCGCGTGCCCGTGACGTTCAGCAAGCCGCTGGGATAAGTCACCTTGCCGTAGATATAATCCATAGCCTTCTGATAACCCTCCCAGTTTTGCTCGAGGAAATCGCTGTCGTTGGTATAGAGCATGTAGTTGTAGGTCCCGACCATCGTCCACATGTGGTACGTGTCCGAGTCTTTTTGGCTCAGCGGCGGGCCAGACTCGTCGAATGCACCTGTCGAGTTGTCCTGCATAGTGTTAGTATCTGAGAAATAGCACGATCGCAATGGTGTGATTTACCTGAGTGTCGTACATAACCTGCAGCGCATTCTTGACACTGTCCAAGTCGCCCAAACTCACAAACGCCGAAGGCACAGCAATACCCATGTCACCCGGCCATACCGCACGGTCACGCTTCGCTCCGTCGACAATGATCGTATCACCAGGTCCAAGGGTGCAATTGTTCGCCCAGCCTTCGGCCATCGCCGGGATCTGACGCCCCGTGTCGGTCGGCACCTCGTTCGTCTGCAGAGTGTAGGCACCAGTGTACCAGATCTTGTTGAGCAAGTCGTCATTGGAGTGGAAGTACCCCTGGTAGGCCTTCAAATTGGACCAGGTAGGCTGGAAGCCGATCTCCAAGGTCACATCCTCGATGTGAATGGTGGAGTTGTCGCTGGTGATCAGGAAAAGAGTCAAATAGCGAAATCCACCCCGCAAGCTCTTATCCGGCATCACATAGTAGTGGCTTCCGGCTTCGGTGAAATTACCGTAGAGTGCACCATCGGGGCCTTTGAAGCCTCCATTTGACGAGTCCGACCATTCCCCAATGTAGTTCTTTGCTTCGGTGAAGGCCACTCCTAGTGCACCACTGCCTGTGGAGCTGAAGTTTACAGAAACAATGCCGCCAACCTCTTTTCCAAAGTCATAGACCACCAATGACCCGTTCCCATGAAGCGCAAATGGGGTATAGTCTTCCGTCTTATCCGGTTGCGTAATGAGAAAGAGCTTCTCAGGGTTCAGAGTTCTCGACGATGGTGCGAAAATGTTCTTCTCCCACGGCCCGGAGAAAGCGCTGTCGGTCGGACCAGAACAAGTGGTGTTGCGCCAACAGCTTTGAGCAACTGAGAGAGGAAGCAGAGCGAGCACGCCCGACAAGAGCCTGTGGCCGCGCATGGTTGCTGTTTTGACTGTTCCGCAGACTGCAGCACCAATTACCACACAGAGCAATATCCATTCTCCACCAGACACACGGGTCCATATAAACGTCTCGGCTCGAGATAATGTTCCCCCGGGCTTTTGCCCAGAAAGCGAAGAGGGGTCGCTAGCTTCGAAGGATTAATATCGCTGGCGTGCTCGTGCGGGACGGATCGATTGGCTTAACGGGCAGTCTGGGGTAAATTAGTCAGGTCAGTCTCGGCTGAATGGCGGATTGAATCAATCAAATATAAGCGAACAGGCAAGCTTTCTCACACGTCCAGGGGTGCGGCGTTGGTTGGCTGCGCAGCAATAGGCTAGTAGGAATGCCGGCGTCATTGGTGGAATTTCCTACAGAGAGCCCGTCGATCGTGCATAAAGGCGTCATTCAAATGCCAGTGCATGAAGTTCTCCCCGGGTTTTCTCCGCACAGGGAAATTGGTGATATTAGTGGAATTTGTAGTTCGGTAGAAATAGCACCGAAGTCTGGTCTGATCGTTCGTCACCTCTAATGGAAGCCCCGGTCAGCATTCAATAAAGGAACCACTGCTCCCAGACACTTACAGCGCGCATCACCCGTGTTCATAATGCAACTGACAGCTTCGGTTTCGCTCCTGCTCCTGGGGCTGGCCTCCGTTGGCCATGCAGGCAATGTGGAAAACAACCACAATGTCTGCACCGTCCGAGCAAACGGGGGTCATCGAGACGACGTCCCCAATATAATGGCGGCGTTCAAAGAGTGTGGCAATGGAGGTACCATCATTTTCCCCGAAGACCAATCGTACTGGATTGCGACGAGATTGCATCCAACATTGAAGGATGTGGCAATCGAATGGCGGGGAAAGTGGACAGTAAGACTCCCTCACCATCCATCTCGTGACCTGTGAGACCCTGATTCGGTCCAGTTTTCCGACAATCTCACCTACTGGCGTAACAACTCCTACCCAGTTGCGTTCCAAAACCACCATGCGGGCTTCATTATTAGCGGCGACAACATCACCATCAATGGTTATGGCACCGGTGGCATTGACGGCAATGGAAATACTTGGTACACAGCTGAGAAGGGCGACACACAGCCGGGGCGTCCGATGCCCTTTGTCTTCTGGAACGTGTCTGAAGTGATTGTTGACAGCTTCTACGTCAAGGATCCGCCTCTATGGAGTATCAACATCATGAACGGGACTAATATGCGCTTCAACAATATCTACTGCAATGCCACGGCTGTGGATGCCCCGTGGGGTGACAATTGGGTGCAGAATACGGATGGTTTCGGTACGTTTAATCTATCCTTATTAGTGGCTTGGATTGGGACTGACTAGTGTCTCGTACTCAGATACTATGGACGCTGTCAACATCCAGCTCACCAACTTTGTCTACCAGGGTGGAGATGACTGTATCGCTATCAAGCCCCGCTCCTACAATATCGACATTCAGAACGTCACCTGCCGCGGTGGCAACGGCATCGCCATTGGCAGCCTGGGTCAATACTTGGAAGATAGCAGCGTAGCTAACATTCGCGTGGACAAGGTCAATGTACGTGCGGTTTTCCCGGCCACCATCATCAGTAGTACTAACGGTGATCAGATCCTCCGATACAACGAAGACATGCACAACAGCGCCTACCTCAAAACCTGGGTGGGAGCTCTCGTTCCCCAAAGTTCCTACGAAAGCGCCGGTGTACCTCGCGGCGATGGATGGGGCAGCATCCGTAACGTACTATTCTCAAACTTCAACGTACAGGGAGCGAGCGCTGGCCCTTCCATCAGCCAGGACAGTGGAGACAACGGTTCCTACGCGGGTACAAGCAAGATGTCGATTTCAAATGTTGCGTTTGTCAATTTCACGGGATGGGTGGATACTGAGAAGTCAGTGGTCTCGACGGTCTCGTGCTCAGAGGTACATCCGTGCTATAATATCGACTACGACAACGTGGTGCTGTATCCAGGGAAGAATGCCACTACAGCTGGAACGGGGTCATGTAAATATACGGCGGATGGTGGTGTACATGGCTTGAGTGGATGCTGAGTGATTGATCGCTAGGGAAGCGACTTGATTGGGTTGTGTATATACGACTGCATGTAAGAGGATCAATGGATGGCAGTACTATACCCTTGGCAACAGATCGATCTTAATCTACGCCAATGTATAGAACTTTTGCATACTATTCCCGCTTATTTGCAATGTTAATCTTCATCCTCACCCTTCGTCCATCCGATGAGATCATCAAACGATTGATTCCTGTCGGTCATTTCATTCCCTGGGTCACTCACGGCACTTGCCATGAATAAGGTCGTCAGATAGTTATTACTCATGGAAACTTCCACCCTTAGACGGTGAATATATCCAAAAGGACAGCTGCATCATCCCGGAGGACTCTGCATTGCCAAGATGGGATGGAGGGGTTATTGTACGACCTTCGGTTAGGCACCCACCTGGCCATGATGAATGATTCGCAAGCTAGGATAGGTGAAGGGGTATCTGCATGGTGGGAGTGACAGTCGCGTACGTCACTGGGTAGGACAAATTGAACGTGATTCAATTGCCGTTTGCGCTTCCAAGGATGATGCCTGCACTGTTTCCTCTCACACTCGGCATTTTCCGAGTGACTGGGAACCCAGAATGGAGATGTTCTCGGGTATAAATATCTGCTCATCTCTTCTTTTTCTCCTTCTCCTTCTTCCACTTCCTCTCCCCTCTCAGCGTGCCATCTCCCGCTCTGGCAGTTCCACGATGTCTTTTTATCGTCTCTTCTAAGAGTTCTTCTATTTTATAATTCTAACATTCATTGTTTCTTGACTTTCAAATCATATATAACTACTACTTTTTATATAGAAATGCGTCGGCTACATCGAGTTCGATGCTTTGATGACTATCGACCGTCTGAGTCAAGCCCTAGGCTGAATCACGGGTAAATCACATTCATCACCGAATTCATTCATCTCTGACATAGTATAGCAATTGACTGAGTGATAAGTTTGATATTAAGGAGAAAATGGAGTAGGAAACCTGCTCGATTTGAATCACGCACGACGACCCGATGCATGACACCAAAGAACTGGAGTGTACGGCAAAAATCATCTACCAGAACAAGATAATTTATAGTGTGGAAACCAGGCAGGTGCACGTACTAATATATATACGAAATCCCGAAATATGTGCCTGTCAAAGAGGTACTCAGTGGCCGTCGGACAAATATGAAACCCCGTCTGCCAAGCCAGTGTAGGTTCATGCCAGCCCACCAATTGTTGATGCACTGGACTCTGACCATTGTTCGCACTAGGCGTCACTCTTTTCAGTATATTCTATTAAACCAAGACCTTCTTCCAAGGATTTGCAAGTTCGTTACACTATTCATTTTGTTATGGTGGCGATGAGCTCAGATGCAGACCTTGTCAATTATATACGACCGATATGCCTGCTTGCAGAAGCGATATATTATACAACATTGAGGGGCGGGCACACCCAAATTTTTCAGGCACCTACACGATGCATGCGTGTATGGAGACCCTGAGCAGGTCTTGAGTTGGTTATATGCATGCACGAAAGCCTAATGCGGTACGCTACATAGGATACAGGAAGGCAATCGCTGGCCGACTTTCTCTAATAGATGTGGAAACCCTTACTACTGGATTTGCGACAACTTAGCCGGAAGCTGTGTATCCACCTCTATCAGCCAATCGGTCCATGGCTGTTTGCCTGGAGGTATTGAGTCCTCGGATAATAATCCTGACGACCACATGGACTTGGACGCTGACCCTGGAACCGATTCAGACGTCGAACTGGATGAAGATGGAAGTTCTTCACGGAGTGCCAATGAGGACGATTTAACAAAGAAGACCTCTGGCCTTCCCAAAAGCAGGCCACCGAATTAGAAAGTCCCGAAGCCAGGGTGAAGCGGCTAGCACGTTTGAAGAAACAGAGGGGATACTACAAATGATGGAGAGCCATTCTGTCACCCGAGCCGATAATTAACCTGAAAAAGATCGAAGCAGAACATGCGGAATTGGCGGCGTGTGCACCCGGAGAAGGCCAAAAGCACTGACGAGCAGACTATTGCCCCAGGGGGAAAAGGCAGGGAATACCAGTGGGAGAAATGCAAAACAAACAATGAAAATGATATAGGTCTCTATGACGCATACTCAGAAGTGGAGAATCATGCGAGGTCGCAGAGCTGCCCAACAGCGGGTGCGAAGAGCCAAATAAAAAGGAGTTCTTGCCAGATGAGAACCCAAAGAAAGGAACAGGGACAACAGATCTTGACTCAAATGGGAAAAAAATATCATGTCAAAAGAGAGGGCAGTGCAAACAGCGCTAGTGATACCTGAAATTGTAGAAATAATCCTGATCACTATCGCCTTAGTGGATCTTTCGAGAATGGAGGGCATCTGCCAAGTCGATGAACCACCAACGAGTATCCAAGACAAGAGGCATGCTTGGAAAAGCTAGAGAAGAGAGTCACTCAAATGACAAGATCAGAAAGGCAATGCTGGGTTTGTCAATTGCCACGGTCGGCTACCACGAGATGAATGGCTGGTAATGGTCCTAATCAAGCTCGAAAAGTGGCAACAACGAGAAGAGTTGATTAGTGATCGGACGTTCGATAGGCAGCACCTGTGGAATATCTTCAGACCAAATAGTATCTTGTACCATAGCATGAATATAAAATTAAACATCTCAGATTCCCGTTGACTTTCTTGTAAAACAACCTCTGTAGGATATTAAGCATCGTCATTGAGATCTCAGAATCAAAGAGGCAAGAAGCCTCTTGCATCTAGTCCCACCAGTGAGAGATGTATTAGTTATTTCCATTCATCTCGAAAGCCTAAGGTATATGACAGTGTTTAGCAGAGCACCAACTGAGCTCCCATAGCACCAAGTAACGCTCGCCGTTTTCAGACCCATACAGCAAGTCTCAGTAAAGGACTAAAGAAAAGAGCAAGTAGTCTATTCCAGACATAAGCTAGTTTTCCGTGTATGCAACAGCCTTATTGAGTTGATCACAGAAAACACAATTGTTGCTGTGGATGTGTTGAGGAGAGATGGAGATGAAGAAAAGCTGCCCCAAAGGAAAGGTCGGTCACCTGAAGGGACATGCTCCTTGTACATCCAACACCACCTCTGCCTCCGCCTTTGATGCTCGATAACCTTCGAAAGTGTGTGGGTGTCGGGATTCAGCGACAAGACATTCGTCGAGAGATGCGGGGCTGAAGTGATCCTTTTTGGTATCCTATATTAAAATGTACTCCTTAGATTTGGTGGTTCGAAGATGTTCTTTAGTTATACTTTCAATGTTAAATTGAAGGTAATGTACTCGCCAGTTGGTGCTGTATAGAAGCGCCCCTTCAAACCCACCGTAAGTGCCTAGGAGCGACAGAGTAAAGGACTGTTCAATTTCAATAAACCAACTAACACAGCAAGTAAGAAGAGTACGTGACTTGCGTACAGGCAGAGACTACATACTATACCCGCCACACCCATGGTCAAGACAACAATTAACTTAAGAGCAGTTGCTTAGCTTACAATCATTTCTGACTAGTTTATCTGAATTACGGAACTTGAAACTGTCGTAGTGGACTATTGCATCCAAAGTAAATGATAATAACAATAGCTAATACGTTTTAAGATTATTGACATGAGAGAGACGATTATTGCGAAGACTGAATGAAGCTGGAATGGTTGCGTTCAACTATATACGTGGATGGCATGTCGGAGACGCTGACTTAGCGATTTGGATGATGACCCTATCTTGTGGACTTCTTAGAGTACTTGTGACATGAAAAGATTGTAACTTGATAGTTACAACACAAACATCAATAAAATAGAGCAAAATGTAGTTAGAGAACCGACAGAGGTTAAACGTAAGCTCATGTCGCGAGGACATCTCGAACATGTATCGTTTTCTACTGTACCAACGAAGTCGATATGTCTTTTGTTTGTCGAAGTTCTCCGATGCGGGGGACGTCTAAGCAGAAGCACTGAGTGGTTGGTGATGTGATTAGTCAGCCACCGCTGACGGCTTACTAAGATTTTGATGTAGAACTACTTCAGCTTCATGTCGCCGAAAACGGAAAACGCTACAAAAATGCCTACGCTGCGAGTTAAATGAACGAAACGAGTCGTAATTCAAGTTTTGTAGGATCAACTACATAAACTTAAAGTCTAATTCCGTAATTGCATTGTTTTGTTTGATCATCAAAGGTTCATCATGCCATTTTCACCCTGCACCAGCTTATTTCTTACCGGCCTTCTGGGCGGCCTTGGTGACCTTGCCGGAACCGCCCTCCTTCTTCTCAACAGCCTTGATGACACCGACAGCAACAGTCTGGCGCATGTCACGGACAGCGAAACGACCAAGAGGGGGGTAGTCAGTGAAAGCCTCAACACACATGGGCTTGGAGGGAATCATCTTGACGATGGCAGCGTCACCGGACTTGATGAACTTGGGGGCAGATTCAACAGACTTTCCGGTACGGCGGTCAATCTTCTCAAGGAGCTCAGCGAACTTGCAAGCAATGTGAGCAGTGTGGCAGTCCAGGACGGGAGCGTAACCAGCGCCGACCTGACCGGGGTGGTTGAGGACGATGACCTGGGCGGTGAAGCTCTCACAGCCAAGAGGGGGGTCGTTCTTGGAGTCACCGGCAACGTTACCACGGCGAACCTCCTTGACGGAAACGTTCTTGACGTTGAAACCAACGTTGTCACCGGGGACACCCTCCTTGAGCTGCTGGTGGTGCATCTCAACGGACTTGACTTCAGTGGTGACGTTGGCGGGAGCGAAGGTCACGACCATACCAGGGGCAATGATACCGGTCTCGACACGACCGACGGGAACAGTTCCAATACCGGAGATCTTGTAGACATCCTGGAGGGGAAGACGGAGGGGCTTGTTGGAGGGACGGACGGGGGGCTCGATGGCGTCGATGGCCTCAAGGAGGGTCTTACCAGTGACCTTGCCGGCCTTGGTCTCCTTCTCCCAACCCTTGTACCAGGGGCAGTTGGGGGAGGGCTCGAGCATGTTGTCACCGTTGAAACCGGAGATGGGGACGAAAGGAACACCCTTGGGGTTGTATCCGACCTTCTTGATGAAGTTGGAGGTCTCCTTGACGATTTCGTTGTAACGGTCCTCGGACCACTTGCAGGTGTCCATCTTGTTGAGAGCAACGATGAGCTGGCGGACACCGAGGGTGAAAGCAAGCAGAGCGTGCTCACGAGTCTGGCCATCCTTGGAGATACCAGCCTCGAACTCACCAGTACCGGAGGCAATGATGAGGATAGCGCAGTCAGCCTGGGAGGTACCAGTGATCATGTTCTTGATGAAGTCACGGTGACCGGGGGCGTCTATGATGGACGTTAGTATATTGATTTGATGAAGGGAGAACTCTGTGAGTACATACCAATGACGGTGACCTCATACTTGCCGGTCTGGAACTTCCAGAGGGCAATGTCGATGGTGATACCACGCTCACGCTCGGACTTGAGCTTGTCAAGAACCCAAGCGTACTTGAAGGAACCCTTACCGAGCTCAGCGGCTTCCTGTTGGATGTAGTTAGTATCGTGTCTTGTTATGATTTTGTCTGATGTATGATCCTCCTTACCTTCTCGAACTTCTCGATGGTACGCTGGTCGATACCACCGCACTTGTAGATCAGGTGACCAGTGGTGGTGGACTTGCCGGAATCGACGTGGCCGATAACGACGATGTTGATGTGAGTCTTGTCCTCCTTACTGTTGAAGAAGATAACCGTTAGCCGATGTCCTTTTCTTCATCAGATGATGGATTGTTGTCTGGACTTACCCCATGATGACGGTTGTGAATGAACTCGAAGTTCTTTTTTGGAATTAGATAGAAAAAGTCTGTAGAAAAAATTGCTCAGATACTACGGCCAGAACGCGTAGAGGTGCTGAGCAACAAAGTCAGTTAGAGAGAGGGATGAATGAAGAAAGAGAGAAGAGACAGGAAGGAAGAGATGGGAGGGGAAGATATACGTACTGAAGCGGACGAGGGAGGAAAGGGAAAGGAAAAATTTGTGGGAGGGGGAGGAGGGGAAATACTTATATGGAGGGGTCAAGCGAGAAGGCGACTAAGCGGGCGGGCTTCAACCCTTGGCTTTGACTTGAATTCATTGGACATGGAGGGGTAATGCCCCCACCACGCAGGTGCGGGACCAACGCAGAATCTTCACGGCGGAGCCTTTTCCAGACTCAACTGGACACGCTTGCAGCCCAGCAACACTGCGCGATCAGCCTGTCCTTTTCTCGCCTTTCCTTGGTTCCTCGCCTTCGGAGCGCCGAACTACGACCCCACCTTGACCACTCTTTCATCGAAAATTTTTCTCTCTCTCGGTCCCCTCCCTCCGGTCCTCTTGTCTATCTATCTGGACCTAACTCATCTAGCTCTATCCGTTGGTAAATAGTGGATTATTGGACTGAAATCCTGGGCATCAACGCAGCGGTGGGTTGATGATGGCCTGGCCTGTTTGGTCATGTTTGCAACCGAACCCCGCGGCAAGCGGCTGTTGTTATTTGTCCGCTCTTAGGCTGCTGTGGCACGGCCGAGTGGCGCCCGCCCGGTCCACCTTTTTGGTGGAAATCCCTGTGAGGTCAACGACCAATGTAGCAAACTAGATAGCAGCATCAGCAGTGGGAGTATAGCAATGTTGGTATTTACTCGGGACTTGTACTCGCTATCATGGGATGATGCTCAATAATATCTCAAATTCTTACTAGCGATTCACACTAAAAAAATGATGTGGACAACCGACAATCTCAAACATCATCGCTTTTTGATAGTGGGATGGCTGGTGCGGCAAAACATGTGAGAGAAAATCTTTTTTTTTCTTGCCCACATCATTTTTTTTGCCATCATCACTGCCCCTCACTTAGTGTCTTGACCTGACAGTGCGGTTAGGTATCTAGCCTTTCTCTTTTCTTTTTATTTCATCTTTTTTCTTTTCCCATCCTTAACCAACCCCCTTCCTCTTTGGGACCCCGACAGTGGCTGTTTTGAGGATAAGAGAAAAAAGAAGTGAGAAAAAAATGACTCAAGATTTGGTACCGTACCAGAAACAACACACACAAAGGATCCTTTCTACAAAGTACTACCACTTATACTCCTACTAACTTGGTAGCTTACCTGGATCTGGCCAATCCCAATCGGGCCATTATTTGCCCGCCGTTGCCAGGTTACCATGAATAGTTAGTACGTAGATTTTGTTGGCGGCGGCAAATTCTGTAGGAGGGGGAAATAGGAACGGAAAAAGTGGTCCCAAAAAAAACTAAATACTAAAAAAAAAAAAAAAAAAAATTGGATCAACGAGGCGGGAAGAAAATTTCTTCCTTTGCGCTTAATCTGACATACTTTTCTTAGCTCACTCCAATAGGAGTAGGCATGTAGTTTAACCACTCCTGTATATCTAGTCGTTGCTATGGATTGGTGTCATCATCCATTGAGGGGTATCTCTAGTAATTTCGATGTAAATCATCGCAAATGGGAACAACCACAATCGCAGGGGCCCAGATCATCATCCTAATCATACACCGTAGCACCAGCCTTCCCTTTTTTTTTCCCTTCCCTATACTTCCCGTTCTTCCTCTACGTTATCCCCCGCCCCTCTATTATTCGAACAACACATATTGTTCTCCAGGGATATCTCCATAGTCCAAACTCTAATAATGGAGTAGCCTCAGTTCTCTCTCCATCGGGCACCACACGTGGTACACTGTCAACCGCAATCAGCAAGGCATGTCAGGCCAGATGCATGAGAACCGCATAAGCCGCTGGTGCGCACCCACCTTTAGGAATGTGGTCATCGGTTCGTCTGCACTCCGAATCTGCAGCTGGAAAAAGTATGCGCGGTCGCCATTACAGTCTTCTGCGGGGCATTGAGCTGCGGGTAGGGAAAAAAGGGAAGAGAAAGCACAACATTAGCCCCAAGCCCCCAAGTTTATTCCAACAACCGTAGGGAAGAGTGCCCCTCCAGGCTTGTGACTTACTGGCCACGCTATCCGCATTTGCGAACTCTTCCTTGCCTCCAAAGACATCTTCCACTTCCTTCTGCTTCATGGGTGTCTTCTCAAACCAGCTCTGGTCCAGAGCATATTGGTATGGGCAGGTGCGGCATTCGAATCGGTTGACACCTAGGGGATGTCTTGTGGTCGGTTCCGCACGAGAGATCGTGAGCGCATTGCTGCAGTTAGGGCAGACTGGGGAGTAGAAAGGTGAGGGTTAGTTAACAAGTACTGTAAATGTAGGGGCTGCAAGAGAAGAAAACTAACAGGTCAACGGCATCGTGAATGTTGCTTGCTTGCTTGCTTGCTTCTTCCTGGGTGAAAGTCCGTCAATCAATCAAGGGATCAATCAGTCAGTCAGTTTGTAGCACAATTCTCGCATAGCATAGCCTTCATAAAGGCGGTTACGGGACTGGTGCAGCTGCCACTGTCCGGCGCAAGTAAGGGTCGCAGCGATCTGGACGATAATCGCCGGCTAGCTGCTGAGGCTCTTATCGACCGGCGATTTCGTTGGCGGAGAGATTCACCGCCGCCGATTGGACGCGGGGCTGCCTGGCCGGCCGGAGTAACCTCCCTTCCGAATGGCTGTCCGCGGCGGAAGTCATGCATTCCATTCCACTACTGTACTGTATGCTCGGCCGCGGGGAACAACAATAGGAGACAGTATCCTACTGATAGTACTTTTAAACGCAGCTGCAAGGAATCTACATCGATCAAAGCTTTCTGTGTTTTTCCTCAACGCTCAGGGCTACTGACTCACTACCCTGAAACACTACCGTCGATTGTTTCAGTTGCTTTTGAGGCATTGCTGATCCCCAGTCCTCGTTTCCGACACCGCCTCCTTTACCACCTTCGCGGCTAACCCGGCCCCATACTTGCGGCATTTGTTTGACCCCTCCGCGCAACCACCCTTGACTATTCAAGATACAGCTACTTGTCGTACCCTACACTTGTGATTTCTCAAGAACAACCAACCATGGCTGACGAAGTGAGTGCTGCAATACCCCCCACTCCGGTTCCGTTGCTAACAAGCATTGGTTGCATAGGGCGCTTCCCCCCGTGAACTAGTCGTAGAGGCCTGCCGTCGAGATCAGCCTCATTTGATAGAGGGTGTCCTGGAGCGTATGGAAGGAAAGTCGAATGAAGAAGTGGCCGAATTCTTCAACGGTGTGACGGATTCGATGGGGAATCACGCTCTTCACATATGTGCTACGTACGGTAGCTGTAAGTGAACACCCCTCATTGAGACCACAGCCCTATCCTCTTGGCATCAGCACTGCCTTATACACATGCTGATCTAATGACATTGTGTTGCAGACGACGTCATGGACGCCCTCTTTGATATTCAGTACTTTGAATGCGACCCCCTCACCCGTTTGGACAAAGATACCCCGCTGCATACCGCCGTGCGCTATGCGAACGAGAAGGACGCCGAACTAGGCGAGGCAATGATCAAGATGATGTGCGAAGCCGGTTGTGACCCGCGTGTCAGGAACAAGCACGGTCAGAAACCAGCTGATCTCGTCTACAATAACCAGGAGATCAAGACCACGCTACAGCAAGCAGAGTACATCATGGCGGAGGGGCTAAGGGAGGATGCGGACAATGGATCGGTTCACGACAGCGCCAGTGACAGCGAATAGACGGCAACAACTGTGTATAGCGACTTTTTTGATCATAGATATACCACTGATGATTACTTTGTTCCTGTATTCGAAGCATAGATGGCTGTTCGGATGCATGCGGCCAGTCCGCGGGTCTAATATGAATTCTTGTTAAACCATCAGTGGTGTTTTGGGCTGGTACCAACTATGATCTTCTTCCAGACCAAGTGAGCAATCTATGCAAGTCAGAACCATAATCAACGGGTATCATTCGGGCAGAATTTAGCTAGCAAACAATACAACAAACGACAAGTCATCACATAAACAAAAAAGAAGACATGGTGGTCAACCATCGCTCTCCTCCTCCTCCTCCTCCTCCTCCTCCTCCTCCTCC